CCAGCCACGCAGCAGCCCTGGAAGTATAATTATACCGATGATGCAGTTGGCTTCTAAGCTTAAAGTACAGGCTTGCCTTCCTATGTCCAGCTTCGGTAATAGACATTATATCAAAAAAATGACCAGTAGAATAATGAACACCTGTTAGATTAAAATGACTGGATTATTATAGTACCGAAGACGACCACCTTGACTTACCACTCAAGAGAACCAGAGCTACACTATCTCCCACTTCATCAATCAGATTAACAACATCTTCATCCCGCCAGATTCCACCAGGCTGAAATTCAGATACCCACTTACACATACACTTCCAACAACCAACACTCACCTTCTCAGCTTTGACAAATATTATGGAAGAATCAGGTTCATAGCCATGCCAACGCACTTGGGACTGAACAGCATACTGCACAAACACAGCATTAACTACACACAATTTTAGGCCAACCCACCAGATCGGAAGGAAATGGGTTTTCTTCCATCAGGATCTTGTAACGATCAGGCGTGGGCTTGTAAAATGGAACCTGTGAGAACCAACATTTACTACTGCACCACGAGACACAGAGGTATGGCACTAACCAGGCCCAGGTGCAGATTGACAGTCAGTGAATTCATTGCTGTAACTTCAGTGTCTTTTGCACCCACCAGCTTGGCAAAGCCAGGGATCACAGAGTCCTCAATAGGCATCCATGCATTGGGTCCCATCAAGTGCCCTCTTACTCCTCTGCACAGCGCGGCAACAGTCTTTTTATAGATTCAAAGCTACAATGGCAACATATCCACCTCTCTGCCCAGCTATCCAATGCTTCAGCTACTACAGCGCGGGTTGTTTTAGGTTGCAGGCCAAGGGAATTGCCACACAGGTAGACACACTCACTCGACGGGTCGACATCTGAAAAGAATTGACACATCGGGAAGGGTCCACGGTAACGTACCAGCGCTCCGTTCTCCCTCAGAGAGTAGTTGACCCGCGCTAGGGATGTTGAAGCTGCTACGGAGGTGAGCCAATCGGATCTCGACGATCAAGCTCTATCGCGAATGCATCACTATCCAATTCAACTCCCAAAGACTCCGCAGTGTCCTGAAGATACTTCTGTACCTCGCCTTTGGTAAAGAACCCTTGCGCGTCCATGCTAGAGAGAGCGCCAGCGAGTGCCTCCCACGCCACGCCCACTTTTACCAGTGGATCGACCTGCGATGGCGGCCAACAAGTACTCTGCCTTGAAGTTGTTGACGAGTCTCTACAAGCCTACATTGTATCGAGCGTCAAGCGATATCCCTGTCCAAAAACGCAGGTTTCAGGAGAGTAACACGGCAAAAAGAGCTCGCCTGTTTTACCAAAGCCGGCAAGTTTTCAATTGTGTTATAGCTGTACTGATGTCTAGAACATTGCAGGAAACGTGGCACCCTAGAAAATGGGATCTTACTGAGGTACAGTACGCGGTATTTCCCTATCCACCATTAGGAGGTATTTTTCAGTTCATTCACAGCCAACTATTTAAAAGATATGGACGAGCGACAGCTGGGCCAGTTGGATGTCCTCCTGAACCACACCGACAGTGACTGCCAACTCTATAACTGGATAACAGGTGAGCCCCAAGCCAATCTCTCTCTCCTGTCACCTGCTGCACAGGTCGTGAGAATGCTCCTCCAGAGTTCCAGTGTGATGTTCTGCAGCAACTGAAGGCTCATTGTCTGCAGCTAAAACACTCACACAACCAACAACCACAAATATCTCCAAGGGACATATACCATTAATTTTCACACTCGTATAAAAACATTATTAAAAGTCATCGCTACCATAAAAAGGAATTTTATTTTGTGGCTACAGATGCCAGCTGGTCGCGAATCTTTCCCAGTCCATCTAGCATGGTGTGCAGTGTCTCTGGGGAGAACTCTACACTCACAGTTTGAGCTACTGGCACCCGCCTCCTGTCCTCCCTTCCACCGTCCACCTGGAAGTATTATATATAGTCCGTGCAGGACTTTTACAGAATGCGAATGCTAAAACCTTCATTTGAAGCAAGCAGGTAGGCACAGCCATGCGGGCAGCAGCTGTGGAGGAAATCTTGACGTCCACTCGCCAGTCAAAGCTTTCGAGGCGTGGCAATGACACTAATCAGAGAGAAAAATCCAACCTGTAGTCTGCCACTTCTTCCTTTGACAAACAATAGACTGACCCACTTACCTTGTTGAGTCATTGCATGTCTCTTCCAGTCACACCTTAATTAAACAATGTGTGCTCTATATGATCAGGTCGGTGTAGTGAAACTCACATGCTCTCTGCTATAATCTCTGAGAGTAGACCCTTCAGGTCATTGTGAAAGTCATCTGGCAGGGAACAGGTGCAGCTAACACAGAGTTTGACCAAAATAGCATATACCAGGAAACAGGGTTTCAATAGACTCTTTGTCCAAAGCTCCAGACTGAAGCACCGATGACACCAGTAAGCATGCACTGGAGAACAGCTAACACAGAATATGAGTGACATAGCCACTTCTCAGAAAGATACCTCTTTTGCTTCCAGAGGTTCTATTTGAATGTTTTTGGCTGCAGAAGCCAGGATTACATCCGGAACTAGCGAAAAATAATTTGTATAACACAACACTGACAACCAACTACAATTTACCTGATTCATTTCTGTGTGAAAAAGCTTCCCGAAGAACATTCTGTACGGCTTCCTTCGATGAAACCTGCACATAGAATGCTATACGGTGAGCGCTCTGCGATGGGAGTTCTCTTACTCGCAATAAGCAAGAGAGACCACTCCACTGCGCCATTGTAGCCACGCCCCCCGAAGGTGAGCATGAATTAGAATAGGTATACACATGTGTGACCAAGGAGGCGGAAAGAGAGAGAGAGAGAATGACGTGGAAAAGGATGAGGAGGAAAAGGACACAGTTGGACCGGTCCCAGCTGGTGCTACAACAGCTACCAAGAAAAGGAAAAGTAATGGCATGTATCTTCTTCTTCTTTTTTACGAGAGTAGCCAGTCTTGGGCTCGGCGTCTGCGTATTATATGTGATGCCTTCCAGCTCTAGCGTATGAGCAAGTCTACCTGGAAAATCTTCCGAGCGCTGAGATGTACGAGAGAAGCTACATGCACAGAGATGTCATCACACACACCATTTCCACACGGTAAATGCCTGTGATGAGTTGGGCCATTCTTAGCAGGCAGACCCTGTGTTGTCAGGACTGACTTTTTGGTGACGGCCAGTGCCGACGGCCACGTCAAGTTCTGGAAGAAGAAGGAGCAGGGGGTGGAGTTTGTCAAGCACTTCAGAGCCCACCTAGGTATGGGAGGTAGCTGGTGCCAGCTGCAGTGAGTGTCTCTCTGTACAGGGAGGATCACTGCAGTGGCTGTCACAAAGGATGGCTTGCTGCTCTGCACTGCTGCACAGGACAAAGCCCTCAAGGTTTTTGATGTCGTCAACTTTGGTCAGTATTTTTTCGGCTTCACTGGGAATCTTTTGTTACTCTCATTTTGTTTCACACAGATATGATAAATATGTTGCGTCTCGGTTACACTCCTGCGTATTGTGTGTGGCTGTATGCTGGAGGTGCAGCAACTGCAGCTATTGCGTGGTAAGTCAGACCAACACCTGCAGAACATCTTCCTATCAATGGCTGTAGCTGTGAGCAAGACACGCCAGTTGTGCACGTGTATGATGGCCACGGCGGTAACACAGAATTGGCTCGTCTCTCCTCCCTCCACACCTCCCCTCTCACCTTCATCGAGGTAGCGCCTGCCCCTACCTACTCCTGACACCCTCTCTCTACATAATATCCTCACCAGTACAACAGTCAGTTTGAGGCAGTGGTGTCAGGAGACAGGACTGGGATGTTGGAATACTGGAGTGGGCCTTCATTTGGCTATTCCTTTCCCAAGAATGTGCTCTTCCAACATAAGCTGGACACTGATCTCTACGAGTTTGTCAAGGTTTACTGTTCCTATCCCATTTTTGCACAGCAAGATGTTCTCTCTACAGCACCGAGCCATTCCCCTCAACATGTCTTTCTCTCCTGACGGTAAGATGTTTGTGGTGATGGCAAGTGACAGAAAGGTATGCTGTGCACATGAGTCAGTGGTTATGTACTGACAGTGCAATGTGCGACAGGTACGGCTGTTTCATTTCCTGACGGGCAAGCTCCACTTGGTCCTGGATGAGAGTCTACAACTCTATTCTGACTTGCAGCAGGCAGGCACCAGTATCTGTCTCTGTTGTTGATGTCATATCCAATGCGTGCAGAAAAATCCTCAGCTACCAAATATGGAGTTTGGTCGTCGCCTGGCAGTTGAAAAGGAAATTGAAAAGGCATCAACTCTTCCTCTTGCAAATGCCCGTGAGCCTATCGCTGCCAGTCCCGTATTGCAACTGTACACGCTATTGTTTACAGTGTTTGATTGTAGCGGACACTTCCTTTTCTATGCCACAATGATGGGGGTCAAAGGTGAGCGAGTGATCAGGTGTGGTAACCCACTACATAATACATGCAGTGGTGAACCTGACCACCAATCGCTGTGTGAGAATCATTGGTAAAGAGGAGAGTGTGCGTTTCCTTCACCTGGCTCTTCACCAAGGCCAGATTGGGAAGACTGCTACCCACTCTGTCGTAAGGAGAAGAAGGGTGACCTCGGGCAGCCGCCCAGTCTGGTTGTGTCATGCATTGCAGGAAATGGAGGTGTCCAACAATCCATCTCTGAGACGTGACACATCGGATCCGTCTCTCTTCTGTGCTGCCTACCGCAAGAACAGGTTCTACATCTTCTCCAGGCGGGAGCCTGAGGACAGCAAGAAGTTAAGGAACTGCTGCTCTGGCCATCCGTATAGTGGCTGTTGCTCTGTAGGACTGACAGTGAGAGAGATGTTTTCAACGAGAAGCCCTCGAAAGAGGAGCAGATGGCAGCTACACAGGTTGATACTATTATTGTCACCGACATGCACCTGTTCCTCCCCCTCAGTCAGGATCCAGTAACTCCAAACTGAGTTCACTCGTGACCCTGCATACCTCCATGGGCGACATCCAAATTAAACTTTTCCCAGAATAGTGAGTGTTTGACTTTAGCTGACATGGCACATAGTCTCTCTGCCTCTCTAGCTGTCCAAAGACTGTAGAGAACTTCTGCGTCCATGCATATGACGGCTACTATAACGGCCACATTTTCCACCGTGTGATAAAGCAGTTCATGGTGCAGACTGGAGACCCCACAGGAACTGGAACTGGAGGAGAGAGCATTTGGGGTGGGGAGTTTGAAGACGAGTTTCATCCAATGCTAAAACACGATCATCCATTTGTGGTGAGCATGGCCAACGCAGGTCCCAACACTAATGGCTCTCAATTCTTCTTCACTGTTGTGGCTACTGTAAGAGCTCCAACTTGTCTCAAGAGGTTCATTTTAACATGTCTTCTCCCCCTAGCCATGGCTTGATAACAAACATACCGTGTTTGGCCGTGTGACTAAAGGAATGGATGTTGCACAGCAAATCTCTGAAACAAAGACACACCCCAAAACTGACAAGCCATATGAAGATATAAAGATACTGAACATAACAATGCATTGATTTTCTCTATTGTCTTGTGTCAAACTCTCTAAGGAAGTCTTCCTCCGTCGACTGTGAGGACTGTGCCTGTGAGGTAGGAGGCATCCTCACTGCACAGGAAGAGAACAGCCTGAGCCACCTCAGACAGTCGACCAAGCCTTCCCAGCGGTGTCCCTGCCACCATCACTTCCTCCATGGCTCTCAGCTCACTCTCCGTGGGTTTCCTGTCCTCACCTGCAAGAGAGAGGGAGGGGCAATACACCGTGACCCCTCCCACTACCACCATGGTGCATACTACCTGTCTTTGCTAACAGAGCACAGCGAGCCCTCCCCTCCACTTGTGTCAGCCACATACGACCCTCCAGTATGCCAGGCGCCACAGCACACACCCTCACGCCATGGGGAGCAAGGTCCTTTGCTGCTGACTTTGTCATTCCTATCACTGCATGTTTCGACGCAGCATAAGCTGCCATGTAGCGAGGTCCCAGGAGCCCAGCAAGGCTAGCAGTGTTGACAATCACCCCTCCCCCTGACTCTGCCATGGCTCCTGATACATGCTTGAGGCCAAAGAATGCTCCGATCACATTCACCTGTATCACACTCTGGGCAAGTTTAGAGTTCTGGTGGTGAATGGGAGCTAGTTCTCCCTGTATCCCAGCATTGTTGAAGAAACAGTTGATTGGTCCTGCAGGGTCAAATCTCCCTACATACAAGTAAAGAGCCTGTCATTTCACTCACCTAGCCTCTCAACTGTCTTTGCCACCATACTCTGCACCTCATCTTCACGCGTCATGTCTGCACACAACACTACTGTTTTGTAAGCACCGCTCGCTTGAAGCTCCTTGCGCTGATCCTTCAGCTGAGGCAAGGTCTGCGGCAAGTCAACCAGAACTATACTTGCCCCTTCCCGTGCAAAGGCAGAGGCTGTTGCATTGCCAATGTCCCCTGCTGCACCGGTTATCACAACCACTTTCTGCAAAAACCTTCGCTTTCCCTCATTTTCCTTCCTTCCATCACTCCTAGCTTCAGCCTTTGTCTGCACGCTGGCGTGACAACTGACCTGCTTCCTGCGCAATCGCCACGCATAGAGTAGCACGCTCCCTGTCACTAGCAACCAAGGAATGTGGACAGCTATATTCCTCTTCACCACTCCACTCTCTCGTTGGAGCAAGCGCCGTATAACGAAAGGCGACCTCCAAAGCATTATTGCTGCTACTGGCACGCATGCGCAGAGCGTTCAGCATCCCCAGCAAATGAGACACACCCATGATAAAAACAGACAGAAGTAGAAAATAGTGTGGTGAAATGTAAGTGCAGGACACAGCTGATTCTACAAAACGATATTGTCTGTGCAGGTTAGCTCCGATAAGGAACCTGCACTGGTCTTGGGACTGGAGTCGGACGTGGAGGACGAGCAGGCACAGTCTCCTGGCCCAGCACTGACAACACCTCTTTTATACTGACAAACAACTCAGCAAAGGTTGGTCTGTCTTCAGGTCTAGAGAACAGGCCCTCAGGAGTCATAATTCCCCATAATCATAATAGTGCCCCTTACCTCCATGACCAGCATCTATACATTATGTCAAACAGTGGTCGCGGACACTTGTCGGGGCAATCCAGCCTGTGATTGTGCTCCAACATTTGCATGATCTCCTGCCCCTTCAGACCCTGGTAAGGCTTGGAACCGTAAGAGAAGGCCTCCCAGGCTGTGACTCCAAAACTCCACACGTCTGACTTGCTATCAAACTTGGCGTAGTAGATGCACTCAGGAGCATACCACTTGAGAGGCCACCTGCCAGCAGACTCCGCCTACACACAAACACACCATCAACACCAATACACACAGTGTATGGATGGAAACTAACACGATAGTACTCGGAATTCCCGGCTATTGCTCTGCTCATGCCAAAATCACTGATCTTCACATTGTCTTCGTCCACAACCAGAACATTGCGAGCTGCTAGGTCTCTGTGGACAAACCGCACCTTCTCCAAATATTCCATTCCCTGGAGAGCTAAGTCATATCATTACCCAATAGCGAGCAAAAGAGGCAGACCTGCGCTATTTGAAGAACCATGTCAATGATCTTCACGTGAGGGAAGTTCCTGTATGTACAAAGATACGCTGACATGAGACAATCTCCACTCACTGTTCTTACGGGTGTTTTCGTAGAAATTTGTTTAGAGGTCCGAGGCTAGCAATCTCCATCACCAACATGATGGGTGTGGTCACAACAATTCCTGGAAAACACACACACATTTCAGTACTACAGACCATGTGTCTTTGGACACACCATAGAGTCTAACTATGTACGGATGGTCCAGCATTGCCATAGCATCTGCCTCACGAAGGATCTCACTCTGCATGTTTATGTGTCGCAATTACAGCATCAAATCAGTAATACAAACACTGACCCTCTCGTTTGTCCCCTGATTGTCTGTCTTTAGGCATTTCACTGCACACTCCACTTGCGGCTCTCCGTTCTTTGGCTTGTAGACAGCAGCACGCACAGCCCCAAAGGTTCCTGCCCCTGGTAATTATACCCCACGGTATACAGCAGGCACACTAGAGCCAGTGGAATAAATACTTACCTAGACTGTCAAAGACCTCAATCTCACTGCTTTCAATCCTGCGAGGACCATGTTTGACCCTAGCCTGTTCCCGGAGGTGACCCCCCTCCTCAAAAACAGTGACAGGACAAACATCATTCAGTGCACACAGCAAGCCATCGGGAGTGCGGGAATAGTGGTCGACAACTTGCAGTAAATTCTCAAATTTACGTCCATTTTCAATGGACAGTTGGCCCAGATTATTCATGTCCAGCAAATAGTGGTAGACCTCTGAGCGAAACACCACACACAGCGCAAAGCTGTTGACTTGCGTGCGCTCTCTAACTAGGAACAAGCCATCCCGGACACCATAGTTCCTGATCCTGTACTCACTTTCATCACGAGTGATGGGCCCGTGGAACCAGAGCTGTTTGCGATGGAGTATCCCTCCAACCAACTGCTCAAAGGCACTCCGCCTCTTGAGCAGAGCATCATTGACTTGGTGCTCCTGGGAGACGACAAAATCAACATTCTAGTCATTCCACGGAACAGCATTCCACTTAGTGGGTGAGTGAACACACTGAGCTCCAAAACAACAACACTTTCCCAGCAGCACACTAATCAACACTTTCTATGGCTGAAAACCCTTCCCAAACAAGGAAGGCTGTGTTTAGCCCACACACAGTCACTCACTCACCTGGTAGCCCAGCAATAGAGCTGCCTCACGCATGGCTGCCTGCATGTCCTCATGGGAGATGAAGCGGTAGCCTTGAGGAGGCTGGCCAGCACGTCGAGCGCAGGGCACTTGCAGAGTGGTCAGCAGCCCATCCACCTTACGAGTGTGGTACTGAACCAGTTCTATGGGGCCGGGAAACTTTGCCCCGTCCTGTATGGCAACACTGCCGTCTTGCTGCCTAGATATCATGTAGTGGAACTTCTTGGACTACAGACAGGGACGACAACAGCATTACAAACAATCCGAGCCACGAGCCTATGGATCTTGTACCTGATGGCACAGAGAGAGGACGTATTCGCCAGTCGTCGTGAGACTGTCTCTCACCAGAAAGGTGCCCTCGCCACTGGCAGTAGTGTCTAAAATCTTCTCTGCGTCGACACGTGAGACACGACCGTGATACCACGCTTCCTTGGACAAGTCGGTCATACTCGCAGGCGTACAGAAAACCGTGTCTTAGCTACATTAAGGCTGAGGAGCCAAAGAGACACAACTTCAATGCGTGCGCAGACAAAAATCGGCGCGTGATGTGCACGTGACCTAAGAATCCTATTACGCATGCGCAACGCGCAGGGCACACCACCAGAAAGCTCTGGCGCGGTGTGTGTGTGTACGGGGTGCAGTGCTGTCGGGGAGGCGCTGAAGAAAATGAAGGTTGCCCTTTTTCTGCTACACTGTGTGGTTCGTGCTCAAATAAACTGAACTAATATAGTTGCAAATCCACGATTTGAGGAGCAACAAACTAATCTGCAGCCTGGAAGAGGTAAGAGAAGTTTGGGCTAGGGCTACCCGCCCATATAAATGCGGCGTCCCTTTTCTTCCATGCAGGTTGACCAGCAGACCACCGTCCTGCAGTTGAAGAACCGTGTGAGAGCACAGTGTAAGTAGTTCTTAGCGTAGGAGTGAGTGCAGAGGTGTGCGGTCTTTTAGGTGGACAGCTATGTCCTGAGAGGCAGCAGTTCAAGATCAGCAGAGACAAAAGTAGGGACAGCTTTAGTTGCAGGTTGGTAGTCACGTGTTCTGACTCCTTCAGAAGCTAGACCAGTGAAAGATGGTGATAGTCTGCAGTCACTGGGCATTTCTGATGGAGGAGTCATTTACCTAAAAGATCTTGGTACGCAATAGTGACCATAGCAGCTACTTATGATTGCATTAACTGATGTTTCCCAGGTCCTCAAGTTGGATGGTCAACTGTGAGTTTGGTCTATTACCAGTAGACTCACTATACATCACTGGTGGTTCCACAGGTGTTCCTAGCAGAGTATGCAGGGCCTCTGGCAGTGTACCTGCTGTTCTATCCCCGACCAGCACTGGTGTATGGCACCAGCCGTGCAGGAACTGACATTGCTGTGCAGTGAGCCAGAAACTCTGCTACAATGGGGAACAGGTATCACCCTCTTTCTCTGCCACTAGTGTTGCTATGGTCTGCTGGACGCTGCACTACGCCAAGCGACTGCTGGAGACTCTCTTTGTCCACCGTTTCTCACATGCTACCATGCCACTCCGCAACCTGTTTAAGGTGAGAACAACGCACAAGTTGAGGCTCCTTTCTATCATGTTTCTGACAGAACTGCAGCTACTACTGGGGGTTTACAGCTTTTGTTTCCTACTACATCAACCACCCTCTCTACACACCTCCTGGTAAGCGTATTACATTCCTTATTTTACTTTAGTTACGTCATAAAATCTCAGGTTTGGGCTCTGTGCAGCTCTTTGCTGGTCTGGCACTGTTCTTGGTAGGTGGTGTACCCTCATAAGAAACATGTATGATGTTGATTTGTGTTTGTTAGGTGTGTGAATACGGCAACTTCTCTATCCATATTGCCCTCAGAGACCTTCGTCCACCAGGTCTGTCTGTATCGAATGCCAGTTCGGCCTCGTGCATGGTGTTCCTCAGGTACAAAGGAGAGGAAAATTCCAATGCCAACGTCCAACCCTATGACAAAACTCTTTCACTTTGTGAGCTGTCCAAACTATACTTACGAGGTATTTTCATGTCGTCCAGTCTGGTCTTTGCAATGAATCTTGCTTGCAGGTTGGAGCTTGGCTTGGGTTCAGCCTCATGACCCAGTGTCTTCCTGGTAGGCCAGTTTACATTCCACCTGCTAGTGTTCCAGCCCCTAGCATTCCGCAGCCCTTCTCTTCGCGGTAGCTGGCTTCCTTCAGATGGCCCAGTGGGCACGTGGAAAACACCGCAACTATCGCCGCGATTTTCCGTCGTACCCTCAGGGCAGAACTGCCATTGTTCCATTTGTTATATGACACACCCAGGATGCTGAGGAGATGGAGAAATGGATTACTTAATTTTGTAATTTTAAATGAACTGCTGTCGCCTGTCAGTACTGTACATGTAGATAACAGTAGTAACTATAATTATATTTTGGTGAAGTTTGTATTGTCTCGCTGGCTTCTCTATCTACCAATATTTAGTCAACTTGCACAGAAGGCCTGGCAGTCTGCACAATGCCTTCCTTGTGCTCAATTGTGTTCATAATTATACTATTGAACCGTTGCGATCAAAATTGTGCCTCCATGGCTCAAAAAATTTACGCAATTACTATAAAAAGCAATTAAACTGCATTTAACTACAGATTTTGAAAGTAAAAATGGGTTAAAATCTACTAATACAGCAAGCTAAATTGTGTGTCTGAAAATTGCTAAGAACTAAAAGATCAGTTATTGAGTGATGACAGTGAAAGGACTGCCAGTGAGGTGCTGGTCATGCCACTTGACACTGATCTGGGTCTCTCCTGGCTCAGGGATGTCGTACGTCACACTGAAGGTGTAGTCCCCATTGTGCTTGACAGAAACAAACTCAGCTGGAACGTATGCCCCACAGACCCCCACTTCCAGTGACCCCGTGCCCCCTGCCTCGCTGCAGTCGACCGTGAAGCTGCCTGGATTATCCAGGCCTGTCACCACGCACTTGGAGGCATCGGGTGGCAAGGCCTCGCATGGCACAGAGAACACGCTTCCCTCCACGTCCTCCCCAGAGAACTTGAGGTCCACATTGTAGACACCAGGTCGCGGTGGTACGTAGCACACTTCGTACTTTCCGGGACTTGCCTCCTCACACGTTATCTTGCTTTCGGCTGGACCACTCACCACCAAACCAAGGGACCCACTCCCGGCGTCGGAGGCATCAACCGTGAAACGAGCCTCCCTTTTTGCTGTTGCTTTCTCTAGTCCTGGCCCATAGGCACGTACTGCCTTTGGATCACACACACTCACTGAGAATGGGCTGCCAGGCACATCCCGCCCGCAATACTTGACGTCTACTGCGTGCCGACCAGCACTTGTTGGTGTGTACCTGCAAAGAGATACCTGTTGGAAGACACACAAACCAAAAGAGAATAACGTACTTGACTTTCCACTTCTGAGGAGCAAGAACTTCTGTTTCTGTAGTAACTGGAGCTCCATTTCCATCCAGCACTTCCACCGCCATTTCTGCCGGACCAGCAGCTGTTGCATCAACCACAAACTCTGTCTCTTTGTTTGCAACCACTTCATGTTCCAGTCCCTCCACTTTCACTTTGGACAGGTCTCCCACTGGAATAGTTAACCCTGAGCCCACTGGAAGACCAGCAATACTCACCTGCATTCAACAAACAGGAAATGTGTCAACAAAAACAGTCTGAGCTAGAGTGTGTATATATAGCTCTAAAGGCTAATTCCAGATGAGCACACCACCAAGAGACCTTCCCTGCCACAACCCAATAATACTTCTGGGACACCACCAGGTTCACCTGAGCCTGCAGCACACCGGCTTCGAGAGGAGTGTAGTGTAACTGGTAGTGAGTCTCGTCGACCTTCGTCACCTCACACTGCACTGGAGCAGTACTCCCGTCTGGTCGTGAGAACGAACACCCAATCTCCCCTGGCCCTGCACCTTCCGTGTCCACCTCCACCACATTATCACTATTCTGCACTGCAGCATGCAGACCAGGCCCTTCCAGCTTCACAGCATCTGGATCGCATACTGGAACCGAGAATGGAGACTTGGGTATTCCTTCGTTTGTACTCGACACCTCCAGGCTATAAAATCCCGGCTCCTTTGGTAGGTATTCTCCGACAAACAACCCTGGCTCACTGCCAACCTCCAATGCCACGCTCTGTTTCTGACCAGAGGGAGTGGTAACTTCAGCCTCCACATCCACTGGCCCAGCATTCCTGGTGTCCACAATCACTTGTGCTGGGTTGCCCACTCTAGCTCCCTCGCCTGTAACGCCACTGCCTGATGCAGTGACCTGTGAAGGATCAATTACTGGCATGCAAAACACCGAGCCTGGGACATCCTCATTTGCAAATTTTACGTCCATTTTGTACTCTCCAGCGGTTGTTGGGGTGAAGGAGAGAGTTGCTGTGCCATCACCGTTGTCATCGCACGCAATCTCGACTTGCTCGGGGCCGCTTAGTGAGAGGGAGAGGTTTCCTTCTCCTGCAGCACTTGAGTCCACAGTGATTATGAGTGTGTCGTCGACTCTGCCTCCAGAAAGACCGTCTCCACTCACCTTCACTCTACTGGCATCACTAAGACTTAACTTGACTGGACTTTGCTTCACGTCATTTCCAGAATACTTGACATCTAACTGGTATCGACCAGGTTCCTCTGGTTGCTCTGCTTTTAGCTGATACACATCCTCCGAAACTTTGACGACGGGTACATCCTTTGAGAAGCCATCGGGCCCATAGAGAGTGGCTTGCACATCCCCAGGCCCTGCCTCTGTGCAGTCCACTGCCCACTCAAGCGGCTCCGACAAGCGTAGTGTGGCATCCTCTACACCTATCCCTGCTCCGCTGATCTTCACTCTGGAGGGGTCCGACACATTCACCTCATATGGAGAGGTTGGGATGGTTTCATCCGCAAAAAAGATGTTGATGTTGTACTTTCCAACTTTGCGAGGGTTGTACTGGACAGCGTACGTATTGTCGTTGTTGCTGGAGATCTGAGGCTTTGCAACTGCACTCTTGGGCCTCCGGAGAGAGCCAGAGCGAGTGACTCCGGGCCCAGGGCTTACTCCAGGGGAAACTGGGGTGGGGGAGCGACCTCGCCAGAATGGACCATCAATTGCCACATCTACTGCACCAACTCCTGCCTCCCTCGTGTCAATAGTGAAGTCACCCAGGTCCCCCACCTTCACCCCGTTTTTCTCCAGACCTGGCCCATACGCCTTGACTTTCCCTGCATCTGTTGGAGGGTCAAAGACAGGTGTGAAGACACTCCCAGGAATTGGTGTATCTGCAAAGCTGATGTTGATGTTGTAAGGGCCTGGCTCCACAGGATTGTAGCGCACTGTTGCTGTTCCATCCTTGTTGTCGGTGACATCCACTTGTGCCTCACAGGGACCCTCAATTTGCAGTCCCAACCCCCCCTCCCCGGCCTGACTTGTGTCAATGGTGAACTCCGTCCAGTCGCCTGAAATGCCACCCTCCAGTCCTGGACCAAATGCCTTCACTCTGCTCGGGTCCGTCTTCCAGTTTGCCATCACTTTAAAGGGACTACCAGGGACTGGCTGGTCTGCGAAGTCAACCTTGACTGTGTACTCCCCGGCTTCGTCTGGATCAATGAAGTAGCGGTACTTCCTGAGTCCGGGCCCTACCTCCACCTCTTCCAGTTTCTCCCCACCTCCCGGGCCCTGCACCTCCACTGAAGGCTCCCCATCCCCTGCCTCCTTGTAGTCCACAAAGAACTCAGCCCACATGTCAGTGGTCAGTCCGGACTCGAGTCCAGGACCATAGGCTTTTACTTTGCTGAGGTCCATCGACGGACGAACCTGCACATTAAACGGGCTGTCTGTGATGTGGACTCCGCCGTACTGGATGTCCACCTGATACTCGCCTGCCTCCGTGGGAGTGTACTCACAGCGCACCATGCCATTCGCCTGGTCTTTGATCTGGGTTGGAACAACGGCTGCACCTTCCACCCTCACCTGCAGATCTGCCTCCCCTGCCTGTCGCATGTCCACCATGAAATGGGTCTGCTTGCCACTTTTGAGCCCAGCCTCCAGCCCAGGCCCATAGGCTGTCACTTTCCCAGCATCAAATAAATTCAGCTTCACGGGTGTTTTGGGTACAGCAGCCTCCCCGAATGTGACATTCATTTTCTTGAGCCCAGGCTCAGATGGAGTGTACTCAATGCTAAGAGTGCCATCCCCGTTGTCGGTGACAGCTGGTCCCAGGCCGTCGGTGGCCTCGACAGGATCCCTTACCGATCCAGCATCCTGGACGGTGCACTTGAGCTCCCCTGGACCAGCTCCTCTGGCGTCCACTTGGTAGATGAGGGGAGAACTAACTGGCAGGCTCTCTCCATTCAGACCAGGACCCGTGAGCTTCACTTTGCTTGCGTCAGTGATTGCCACATGATAAGGACTATTAGGGATCGGCATCCCTGCAAAGGAGATTTCAACGTCGTAAAGTCCTGGCTCTTCAGCCAGATAGGTGTAGTTGTAGGTGTAGGGAGCCGACTCCAGCTGGAAAGGGAGCTCCCCTGAAGGCCCGCTGATCCTGACATCAACATTCCCGTGGCCTGCATCTTTGGTTTTCACTGTGAACTTGGCAGGCTCTTTTACTCGCATGCCCTGTGGAGAAAGACCTGGACCATAGGCTGAGACCTTGCTCAGGTCAGTCGGGGGCTCCACCTGCACTTTGAACCTGCTACCGGGGATCTGCTCCCCGCCAAACTTGACAGTGATCACATGCTCACCAGCGTGGCTAGGGGTGTAAGTGAACTGTTGCACTCCTCTCTCCTGCTCGCGACTGGCGCAGTCCACTGTTCCCCTCGGACCTTTGATGTGGACGTTCAGCTCCCCTTGACCAGCTCCCTTTGTGATCACGTTGAACCATGTCTGTTTCTTTATCTCCACCCCAGTTGGCTCAATCCCTGGTCCTTCCACCTGGCATTTGCTGGCATCTGGTTTGTCTGCCCCCACACGAACCTTGAAAGGACTCTGAGGAATATGCAGGTCAGAGAAAGTGACCTCCACGGTGTGGGGCCCGGCATGCTGGGGTCGGTACTGCACGTAGTACTTGTCTTCAGTCTCAGCCTTCACCTCCAAGTCCTCCGCAGGAATGGGCCCCTTTGTTCCCCGCACAGTGATGCCCAGTTTCCCTTCTCCTGCACCCGCAGTCTCCACCCAGAATTCTGCTGGAGATCCCACTCGCAGATCGGAACCCTCCACTCCTGGCCCATACGCACTGCAGGCACCGGCGTCTGCGCCTGCCACTATATTCACCTTGTATGGGCTCTTGGCTGCGGGCTTCCCACCATAGTTGACGGCCACAGTGTAGCAGCCAGGGACGGTGGGAATGTAGGCGCAGCTGAATGTTCCATCTTTGTTGTCCTCACAGGAGCACTCAACAGCTCCCTCGGGAGATGTCACGTTCACACTTGGCTTCCCAGACCCCCCAGCAGCTCTGATGTCTACTGTGAACTCTGCGGCTGGTGAGTTGGTGTCGAGACCTCCCTCTACTCCTGGTCCATGCACCTTCACCTTGTCGGCATCCCCTCTCGACTTGATGGGAGCTCCTGGCTTCAGACGGGCGTCAGGAAACTTTGAGAGGTAGGTCATCATGCTCAGCTCATCCACATTTGGATTGCACATGTCCTTGGGCTCCAGGACCTGTGAAGGTAAACAAAGTCTCCCTCGCAGACAACCCACCAAACCACTAGCGGCAGCAGTAACATTATTCACTAGAGGGAGTAACTCACCATCGGTACTCCCAACCAGTCCTCCGCCAACTTCATGGCAGTTGTGGCATTCTCCACAGCATTCTCTGGGTTCATGTCCATATGTTCAGGACACAGACCTGGAGCCACGGCGTCTACCACTGCTGCTACCATTGTCCCATCATTCCAATCACTGGTCAGGTTCTTCAGGTTCTTGTCTGGCACAAGGCCCTGTGTAGGGGTGTATAATTTGCTCATATGAAAGTTGGCAAACAAACCGTGACCACTCTCGGCAAACCCTGTCTGGCATACCACATCAATTCCCACTACACTACAGTTCAGAGGGAGTTAGCAGCTCCTACCAGTCCTAATGCTCTAGGGTCTAATGGTCCATAATAGTATTATTGTATTATTACAAAGTTACCTGCAAATATGCAATGAGAGCCTGTTTGGGAGTGGGACCTCCTTTGTCCTTGCCATCTCCAATGCCAAAGCCCATGGAGATCTGGTAGTGGAGGATGAGTGTCCAAACGAGGCCGAGGATGAGCTTCAGGTTCTGATCCACGATATCTCCACTGCCTGCAGGAGGACACACCACACACAGTTTGGCTAATTACTGTGGCATTTCTCAAACGTGATTGGCAAGAAGGCTAGCTGAGTAGCTCATACCCAGCCCTGCCCATCCCATGCAATACTTTGCAATAAGGATGCCCAGCCACCCAGCTAGAGCTGGCTTCTCGCCCACTCACCGATGTTGACTAGTCTGATGCGCTCCTTCTTCATCAGAAAGTCCAAGGCTAGCTGCACGTTCTCCATCTTCTGAGCAAAGACCCGCGGTTTCTTGTTGTACCTGCCCACCTTCTTGTGCGAGAGGACCTCGATGAGGACGATGAGACAGACGCCGTCGCTCAGGTCCTTGGACAGATCTTCCACGACCATGCCCTGCACTTTGAGGTGCTCGTTGCACCATCGCGTGAACGTCTTCTTCTGGATGCGCTTCCACTCGGCGTCCAAGTGCTTGTCGCCGGACGACATGTTTGAGTAATCCTCCCTGTGGATGCAGACAGATGTAAAAACCTGCTACAGCAGAGCCCGAGCTACGGAGTGTTTATAGTAAACAAAAGGCTGTGTCCGGGTCCACAGCGACTGGTTGCGGGCCTGCATGAAATCATGCAGAGCCCCGGCCTACACGTACATGATGAATCTTTCTTGGTATTCCTCTTCCGCTTTTTCGCTAGACTAGGCAGCACAAGGAAGGGTCGCAAAGTGTCCTACCTGTTGTTGTCTCGCTCTTATAGCTGGACAGGTTGCGTCCTACGTCAGAATAGCGCGCATGAACTGCCAAATTCCAACGTCCCTTGCAGCCAACAAGGTAAACCCGCTAAGTGAGTGGATTATCGACGTGAACAGTGTCTAACCCGCAACTCCCGGACAGCTTTACAGAAGCAACAAAGTGGGCGTAGCACCGCTCTAAATTCACTTTATACCGTTTATGGAAATCCTCACGCAATTTCTCTGAAGCGGAAATAAAATCTAGATAATTAAATTTCATGATTGACGACAGTTGGCAAACGGACTTGCCTACAAGACCAGAGACACACATTAAAGACAGTCGAGGAGTGATTTCTGGCTAGAGTGAGGTTCAAGTGAGAGACTGTAACAGTCCAAAGGCTCCTGTTCCACCTTGCACCACTCTACCTGTGACAAGACAGGCAGAGGGCGATGCTAGCTGGTCCACAGCTCCAGTCATGGTGGCTGTCTTCAAGAAATGCATGGTGGTCTCGAAGCTCATCTTCTGCAGTGGAGAGCTGTGAGCCTCCAGCCCTAGTCGGTTGAAAGGTTTGTAAGTTCCCCCAAACGTCATGTAGTCAGCGATGAGGGACAGATGTCGGTGATCCACAGCAATGTTGTACACTTTGAAAACACTGGAGATTTCCTGCAAAGGTTGAGAGAGTAACCAACCACACTGTCTGCTAACCCCTACCCTTCACACCCCAAGCAGTACACAGTGCCACACATGACCAGTCCTACATTCCCAACCTCATTTTCTACACATGCCAATCACAGCCACAGGAATGAAGAACTCACTCGGACAATTGTTGTGGCAGCAGCCTCAATACCATAGGTGGCAGCCATGGAATGAACGCTATTGGTATAGACCCGGTTTAGCTCTACATTCTCAGCATGTCTGCATAGTTCCTGTGGCCACACAGAGAGAGAGGAGTCAGGGAAGAGTGGAGTTAAATCTAGCGATCCACCTGTAAGTTGACTCCATCAGTTTTGAGGATCCACTGGTCACATGATTCGTCATGTGACAAGAAACCTCGGCAGACATTGGGTACCTCCCACACCACACACTAGAGTACAAGGAGGAAGTAGTAGAGGGTCTGGGTTGAAGAACACCTCACCTTTTTAACCACCTTTTCCACGAGAGCAGTGAGCATGACCTTACAGTCCACAGCAGGGAACTGAAGGGAGAGAGAGCAGCTAATTACACTCGCCTTGCTGGGATTAGTCTGCAGTTGGCTCCATAGCCAAACAAACATGCTACACATTAGGCAGTAAATTAAACAAATCACCGTCCCCCGTAAGTGATAAGTGCAGTTGCTGTACAAACCTTCAGAGTAAACATGCTGTAGAGTCCATCCTCTGCATCATAGCTGTAGTCCACAACTGCCGCACTGCTACCAACAACTTCCTACACACAGTGAGAGCTCTAGCTGACCAGCACACCTCTAATGCCGTAATTCTCACATTCACTCTGTCCTTATCCAAAGCCATCTGCTCCACAGGCTCTTCCTCTTCCTTTTGATCATCCTCCCCCTCTCCCTCATCTCCCTCATCTCCCTCCTCTCCCTCACTGGGGAGTCCAACTGCCTCCTGGTCACTGTCTCCTGCAGCCTCATAGCTGGACTCCTGTTTCTTCTTCTTAGTCTGAACCTCAGTCTCCTCTCTGTCGGAATCCTCCTCCTCATCATCCTCCTCCTCCTCCGCACGGCCTCCATTCTGAGAGGACACTGCTCTCTCGCGCTCCACGTTCACGGCCTTCAGTCTGAGAGGATGCAGCTGCGCTGAAAACCAATCCACCTCACTGCACTCACCTCTTCTCTCGCAGCAGCTTCACCTGCCGGTTGACAGCTGACACCAACATTCGGACAAATCTCTTCTCCACATAGTCCAGTACTTGTCCTGGAGTCACTACATACAGTTCCTGGTGAAGGGAGGGAGGCTGTCAATACAGGACTCAGTCACCCCGACCTTACCTCATAGTAGTGGTGAGGAAGAAAACTGAGCTTCAGCTTGTACTGCCGATATCGGTGACCCTTGCCCTCCCTCCCAATGGTCTCCCACACCTCTACTTTCTCCAGTACCTATGGAGACAACATCCAGTCAGAGTGACTGAGGTGATAATGGTAAACTGGGGAAGCCAAACAAACCACACACAATGGATGAATGACAATAATGAAGTGACACTGTAAAGCACACAAGAGGACTGTTGTTCCAACAGAGATAGGAATTCCCTTACACAAAGAGTAAACCTGATTGACACCTGACAAGAGGTCTACCAGAGACTCTACCTGGTCCAGGGTGACTCTGGTGAAATACTTCTTGAGCCTCTCTCCCTCAACTTTAGCTCCCGAGCTGCGATGCAGAGGCACCTCCATAGCAGGTGTCTTGATGTTTGGGCTCGCAGTCATCAGAATCTCCCTGGGTTGGTGGAATCACATGACAACCATGCAGTCTGTAACTCTGCCTCACCTAAGTCGAGGTATGCCCAGAGTGACATTCATTTCTCCTCTTCCAGCAAAATGAAATGTGTTAAGCGTCATTTGAGTGGACGGCTCTCCAATACTCTGAGTCGGAGAGAAAAAGAGGGAGAGGAGGGAAAGACAGAAGTAAGGGAGGAAGATGTGCAACACCTGCGCGGCCAGCAGACCCACTGCCTCCCCAGGCTCCGCCAAAGACCTCAGGTACTTGAACTGAATCAGACTTTCAAACTTCTGCACCGAGAACCTGTCAGAAGAGCAGATGGTGAGGATGGCATGCCTGGTCACACTCACTGCTCCTCATTCTGACGGTCGGTGGGCAGAGTCTCGAGGAACGAGGCAATCTGAGAATCCAGTCTCTCTGGAATGGAACCAAAATACCGATCAGGACGGAAGCGAGATAGAGCTGGAGGAGGACAGCCCCTGCACTTGTGCCTCAGTCTGAAGACAGGAAGGTTTTCTCACTACAAACCACATGTCACAATGGTTATGTATGTATGTACCGCTCTCTCTGAAAGGGACTGAGACTGTACCACTCTGTCAGTAGCTGCTGCTCGGCCTGTGGGAATCAGACCTCAAGTCAAGGTACACATTCAGAGTGTGAACTCACTGCAGAACGTGCAGCTTGCCTCCTAGCAGCAGACCTCTCAGCCTCCAGTCGTGGTAGGTGTTTCACCGAGAAGGCCCGGAATGGAGAGGTGGGTGGAGTCGTGTTCTTCTTCCGCCAGCGCTGCAGCTGTACATTAGTGAAATCTTCCTCCCCTCCACCCTTTATCTTCCACTCACTCTTTTGCGGTGTTTGTGAGCAGCCACCATGTCCAGGTACCCCTCAGCAGCAAAGAAGTCCACTCCATATGTCAGTGCCTTCAACCATACCCCGACATCATGAGTATTATACATTGGAGAGAAGGACTGTTACCGAAGTGGTTGTCAAGGAGGAAAGGGAAGAGAGAAGGCTGCAGGAACTTGCTGTGACACACATCCAATCCATCTTCTCCGTAGAGAAACTGGACCACTGAGCCGTCAGAGTCCCTTACCTGCAAACACACACACACACACACACACACACACACACCACCACCACCACCACTGAGGTCAGGTATACACATGTGCAGAGGAGACATACTGTGAGATCATAGCATGTGGTGATGCCCTCGAGGTGCTTAATGAGACATCTCTGAAGGTAGCCACTGCGACTGGTCTTCACTGCAGTATCCACCAAACCCTGCAGAGCAACTCTCAGTAGCAGTGAGATAAGAGAGGAGACCCCAGCCCACCTCGCGACCAGCCATACAGTGGAAGAAGTACTCCTGAGGTCTGATCCCACTGAGGAACCTCCCATCCACAAACCCACCAGCTCTGGGACTGGTGTCGTAGGGGAGGAAGGAAGGCAGAAACCGGCCGCTGGGCATCAGAGGAGGCCTCTGTCCCTCCAGCTCTATCTGACCCAGCAGACACGAGATCTGCATGCAGTTGACCTGCCAGCCAGTCAGGTGGAGATGAGCCACACTGAGAGACAGGGATATCTCACTGAGCTGCCCTTGGCTCCTGACTGCACCATCAGTTGCAGGTTGTTGGCTGGAAATGGTTTCAACAGACCACCAGGCACACACGCTCTGCACACACAACACAATAGTGAGACCTCATCACACACCACCCACACCCACGTATTTATGAGGTTGTTGTATTTGCTGGTGGATCGAGAGAAGCAGAAGTCAAGGTTCCTGACTCCGGTGGAGTCTGGTCTGCGATGAGCCGCTGCGTACCTCTCTTTCACCTCCTCCTTACCTGCAGAGGGTGGCAGGGAGAAGGCCTCAGCTGCTGCCTCCTCACCACACCCCATCAGGCCCTCCATGTACTCCCTCCGCTGACCATCTGCCTGCAAGGTCAGGGGTCAAATCTAAGCTCCGCCCACTCATTACCTCACCTCGGGCCTCACGAGAATGTCCTCCACCCCAAGAGTGAAGCCATGCAGCTGCAGGAAGCCGGTAAAGAGACGACCGAGAGCAGAGAGGAGGTGATTGGCCACATCTCCTCCATACAGCTCCTGGCACGAGTGGACAAAGCCAAACTGAGAGGCTCCGAGTTGAGACTTGTCCAAAACACCACTCAGCAACTGGCCTTCGCGAAACACCACCTGCCAGGGATATATACCTAATGTCTGTTAGTATGACACAAACCTCACTTCAGATTCAGTCATAATGACGTCTCTCGGCAACTGGCCACACCCCTTGCCACGCCCCCATTCCTGAGGGTTAATCTTCGTCTTGGAGATGAGATTGAGTGGCTGTTGGCCTTCAGGAATGAGGTTCAGCAGTACAGTCGACACCACCTTCGACACGGAGAGTGGAATATTGACACCTTACCACAAGGTGTTTTCTCTGCACTAATATATACCTGTTTCCCAGACCAGAGAACAGCAGGTCTAAGAACACATGGTGGTAACAGGCTGAGTCGCTGTGTCTCCCGTGGCAGGGCGGCCTGTACCAGCTGGTGGTAGTCATGGCGATGAAAGAGTCTTCCTCTGAGGGTCATGAGTACGGCGGCAACCACGTGGTCCTGGATAAGACCACTGAGCGGAGTTCCATCCTTGGGTACCAGGTACTGCCTGTGGGTAGAGACTGGGGGGCACGCAGGGTTCGCACACTCACTCCCCCACCACTCACCAATGTTGTAGGCCTCGGAGCGTGCCAGCTCGTTCTGCGGGAAATGAGCGTTCATCTCGTCGCCATCAAAGTCAGCATTGTAGCACTTGCAGTTGGCATAATGGAGTCTCATTGTCTTTTCTCCAGGGAGGACACGGGCCTGTGGGAAGGAGGGAGGGATGGAAGAGAGGAGAGGTTTCAGCTGACCTTGTGAGCCATGATGGATGGCTTGTGCAGTGTTGGCTGTCTGTTCATCAACAGTATGTCGCCATCCATCAGATGCCTCGAGACCTGCAAGAACATGCACAGGCAGATATGCACCATTATGTAATGCCACATTCGTAGCACACCAGGCAACAATATAGGGATTGTGTGATGGAGTTGGGGGTGTCAGCGTGCTCAAATCTGTTCATTAACCAAGCTTCATGTATCCCATCCCTATCTTGTCCCCCTTTCTTTTTATACCATCCTCTTTTTTTAAATTCGCAGGGTTTTTAATTACTTGTAATTAATGTGTAGGATGCCGAGGCTGAATACTAAACTGTTGCAACTGTGGCCATTTCTCTTCTCCTCATAACCTTCTGTGGTCCATTCTAGTTTTGCTGGTTCACGCTTTGTACAGGCTGGTACAAATTCCTTGATTTTCCAATCTTGCTCTCTCTTTCAATCCTCACGGGATCTTTTAATGTGTGTGCAAAGGGATAACTCAACTAGCCTCAAGTCTGTGCCAAAGATAAACATTGACTCCAGGTATTTCCATTTCCTTTCTCTTCCATGATACACACAGCACACCTAATACAGTAACAGTCAAGGAAGAGAGGAGCTGGCCACAGGCCCACCAACTCTGCCAGCATGGCCAAGATCGGAGTTGCCAATCGTCACTGATACAGTTTCCCACAATTAATTTTACTATTGCAGCTCACCTTCTTACAAGCTCCTCTGGCAGAGCCAGGTTTGCTAGGGGTGAGGAGTTGGCGCGCAAGGGCCAGTCGCTGAGCTGGTCTGTGCGGCTGGAGCATTACCACAGCTCCATCCTCCATCTGCACATGAGTGGCCCTACAGTGCAGGAGATTTACACATGATCCATGAGCCGTCTCCATGGTTACCCAGGGTGGACAAGGGGGCCATTAATGACTGCCTGACGCAGAGTCTTTACATTCCAGGCTGTAACCGGTTGAGGATAGGTTAGCTTCGTAGCAAAGACCTACACACAGAGTGTCTCATATATAAAACATTAGAGAACTGGGTACAAACCATAGGTATTCCAATCTCATCCATGTTGATGTATGGGTCTGGAGAGATGACTGAACGTGCTGCGTAATCAACCCTCTTCCCCATCATGTTCATACGAAACAGTCCCTCCTTTTTCTCCAATATCTGCAACCACTTAGACCAGTCAAACACACACCCCAAACCCCATGAACCAGTATAATATACCTGTTTGATGCCATTTGGCATGACCTTCCTTTTCTCCTGCGACGAGTCCATGACAACATTCACTGCTCCCTGAAGTCGACTCCACAACATTAGTAGACGCTCACTGAAAGACTAATACAGAGAGAAATGAAAAGCAATATTGTTAACCGCATGCACACGTTCTTCTCTCTGCTCCACATTTTCTCTGTGCATGCGCACGTTTTTCTAACTATTCTCTGTACATGCGGGTCGTTTTCTACCTACGTTTTCACATCTGCTCCTCATTTTTTCTGCGCATGTGTACAATTTTCTCACTGCTACACTATTTTTTGCGAATGCGCACGTTTTTCTAACTACATGCGCACATCTTTATAACTGTTCCACCCTTGTTTTTTCCGGACATGCGAACCTTATGCCACATGTTTCTTAAGAAGTTGCACGTTTTCTAACTCCGTCACGTCTTTTCTTCGCATGCGCACTTTTTCACGTATTTTCTGCGCATGCGCAAGTTTTACCACATTTTTTCAGCGCATGCGCACATTTTTCTATCCCTGCCACGTTTTTCTCACTATGGCACCTTTTTTTGCGCATCCGCATGTTTTTCACATTTTTTCTGCGTATAAATCTGGTGTTGGTTAGTCAGTAGTATGACTATTGTTTAGTTCGAGCTATAGGTCCCGACATCATGATTAACCATCGCCACATAGTATTACACATTTGGGGTAAAATTCAAACCCCATTCTAAGTTCTTACCACACTATTAGCAGGTGTGTCTTCCCTCTCCCTGTCAGCCAGTAGCTGATGGATGGCTGCACTGGCAGACAACACAGCCTGCAGATTCACAGTCTGCGGATTCTCAAACCTCCGCTCACCCATCTGAGAGATCTACAGCACAAACCTCAATGCACCAGCAGTAACGACAGGAGTCTCACTCACAGGTCTGAATCTGGAGGCTGGGACAGGCAGAACTGTCAGGAAGAACAGGTCCATAACTCCCTCCTCTCCCCGTCCTCCTTCAAACATTGCCTTCAACAGACTCCCCTCCTGCTCGCACACCTGCCGAACGTGATCTCTAACCTCAACTGGAGAGACATACATCTGCTGAGTGACATCCCTCGTGTCACTTGACTCCAACAATGGGTGGCTTTCTCCCTCTCCTCTCCTGCCTTCCCTGGAAATTGCAGAGAGCCACTGTCCAGCCTGCTTCTTGGAGAGTCCCTTCAAGAAGATTCTGATCTGCCCATCTTGCCTCAGTGCTCTAGCAGGGGCCTGGCAGTGTGGGCAGCTGCTTTGGCCTCTGGAACATTGGCGAATGAACTCCTGCACTTCCCACTGCCGGGCCTCAACCACATTACGAGAAGACTCTCCTCCTCCTCCTCCTTCTCCTCCAAGGTGCTCTAAAACCAAGTGGTGAACAGCCTGTACAGAGCTGTCAGCTGTATGGCTCCCTTCTCTGCCAATAGCTGCCAACACTTCAGCCTCCAGACCAGCAGATTCCGCCAGTTTCCCTGCATCTAGTAGTCTTAGCCGACCTTGCAGGAGAGCTAGTTTGGTGGGTGTGGCCAGGAGGCGGTGACAAACCCAGCAAGAAGCCCGCAGAAGCTGGTACAGAGCAGTGAAGAAGATCGGATGGTAGACAGGCAGAGGTAGAGAAATGTGGCCCATGTGGCCCGGACAGTGAATGTAGTTGAGACCACACGTCACACAAATTTCCTGCTTGTCGGTGGGGCCCAAGGCAGGGTCGTAGAGTCCGCCTAGGTTCGGGTGCAGAAGACTGTCAAAGGTCTCAGGATTGGTAATCTTCTTGACGCTCAGAGCCGTGAGCTGAGGGGCTGAATAAGTGAGGAAGGAGAGAGCTGACACACGGGAAGAGGGCGAAAAGCCTGGGTCTAGTCCACGAACGTCCACCATGCTGCCAACAAGAAACTTCTCACTCTCAACTCCACGTGGGTGTGTGCTGCACACAATGCGCATGCGCATAAAACTCGAGGGTGTGGCTGGTTTGGGGCCGGGGTTGCAGAGCTAGCTAGAGCGCGATACACGACACGATGGCATCTCCACCACTGTTGGACGTTGTGTGCATAGGTTTGAGTCGGGCGCAGGCCAGAGAAGAGTACAGGGCTCAGGATTACCAGGTGTGTGCCGAGAATGTAGCTGGCCGCGTTTGGTATGTGTAAGTTCAGGTTTGTTTGCTGGAGGGGAACCGTCTACCAAGAGGAGAGGTGCAGGTGGGAGAAGAACCAGAGAGAGCTGCTTTGCGCATCGTCAGTGAGCGTACAGGACTGCGAGGTTGGTTTTCTACACGATTGCTTCGATGTTTTGACGTCATTCTCAGGATGTTTAGCAGTGGGCCTTGCCGTCCATTACACAAGGAACATTGCTGTCTTGTATGCTGTCCCAATCGCATACTCCGGTTGGCTTTTATTGCTCCATCTATTTTCTGGTCTAGTTCTACTAACTGCAGGTATGCTCAGTTCTTCGGGCCAATTCTGCAGCCTCTCATCTGTAATGGCAGACCCCAACACAAACGAGGAAGACAGGTTCAGTCCTCTCTTATTCCTTACGCTACCTCTCTATGTCATAAAAACACTCCCCAGGAACATGCTATCTTCAGTTGACGAGTGGCTCCAGGAGAGACATGCTCTGCCTTACCTAGACCCATCTCTATATTTCCTGGGAGGAGAAGGGGAAGAGGGTGGGGTGGGGGGAGTGGTGAGAGCAGTCATTGAGAACCCAGTCTTCCTCTGCCCCACAGCTCCTCCTGAGGACCAGCTAGTCATCTCCCTCAACAACCCAACTTTCTCTACTACTCACAGCACTATTGACTTTCATGCCACACAGGCTTAAACATTTTCGATGATCTGCATAAGTACATATGACTCTAGCTATGTTCTGTCTTATGACATTCTGTGTTGCTAGGTGGAGTAGAATCCACCATCATGTTTGCGAGAGTAACCTCTGTTAGTGGCCTCGGAATGGTGGCTCTCAATGGCCAGACCTTTACAGGAGTGAATGGTGGTCTTCCTGGACGGAGACTGGTCCACCAGCGGCAGATCTTCCAGAGTCACAGGGTTACAGGGAGAAGGTCTGTTCTTCAGCACCCTCCCATGCTCCTGTCCAATCGTCTCCGGCTGCATTAGCGTGTCTGCCTTGGACCGCATGAACTCGTCGCTATGGTTGTACTGGCACTTCAGAACGAAGTCCAGACTGTCTCTCGGGGCCTGAGGGTCGTGAATAGCCACCTCCTGTCTGGCGCTGGACAGTGTTTTTGTAGCGTTGAGTCGAGTCCATTGGTCATCGCTGCTAGTGGAGGAAAATGTGGGCACTGCATCTCCAGATCTCTCCTTGGACCTACGACCCACGAAGTTGGCGTCGTTCTCCAGCCGGGGAAACGGGTAGGGATCGCGTCCCGACATTATTGCGCGAGGTAGCTCGGTTTCTATGGCAATAGCTGCTTACTCCAAATAGTGCCCACCAACAACGAAAGGATGGCGTCGGGTGTGGGAACGCTCTATGATCGGCTTCTCCACGACTTGGAACACAGCAGCAAGGTTAAGCAGGAAGTTGTGACGGGAAGAAGGATTGGATTCTACCGACTGAAGAGTCAATTGGGTGCAGGAAACTTCGCACAAGTCAAACTTGGCTTGCATCTTCTGACCAATGGTGCGTGTTGCCACTATGCAACACTCTTAAAAGGGTTCTAGATGGTCCTATTTGTCTTGTCTGTGCTTCCCCCCACCAGCGTGCTAATATTACGAAATGTTGAGAACTTTATTTGATGTGCTCAAACTCTTACACCACTCCACATTTGCAGAGAAGGTAGCAGTGAAGATTATCGACAAGACAAGGCTGGATGATGTAGCCACCCAGCTTCTCTCACGAGAGATCAGCTGCATGGAGAAGCTGTGCCACCAGAACCTCATCAAACTGTTTGAAGTCCACGAGTCTTTTACCCGCCTGTGTCTTGTGATGGAGTGTGCAGCTGAGGGTAACCTGCAGTCTCGTGTGGAAGACAATGGGCCCTTCCCTGAGCCTCAAGCTAAGGCTGTCTTCTCCCAGATAGCAGCTGGAGTTGCACACATGGTACGCTGCCTGTAGTCAGTTGCAAAATCCACTTATGTGCGTTACAATTTAAACTGCATCCCTGTATAATGAGACCAACCACTCTGTCTCAGTGCTACGTCGTAATGAGCAGTCCCTCTCTCCCCACCCAGCATGCCAGTGGAGTCACTCACAGAGATCTCAAACCAGAAAACGTCTTCTACGTGTCCAGCACACAAGTTAAGATTGGCGATTTTGGCTTCAGTACGGCAGTGACAGACGAAGCTCTCTCCACGTTCTGTGGGTCTCCAGTGTTTGCAGCTCCGGAACTGCTGCAGGAGCAGAGTTACATGGGACCTCCGGTGGACATGTGGGCCCTGGGAGCCACTCTCTACTACATGGTGACTGGGAACGTCCCTTTTCCTGGGAGCAGTGTGCTGCAGGTGAAGGAGAAGGTCCTGAGTGGCAGCTACATCACTCCGTCTAGAGTTGGGCCTCTCTGCCAACAGCTTGTGGCCAAACTGCTAAGAATGGAGCCGAGTGGGAGACCCAGCATATCAGCCACTCTCCAAGATCCCTGGTTGGAAGGAGTGACTCAGAGGGTCACCGAGACCCCAGTGGTGGGAGATAAAGCTGATTCGGAGGTGGTGGAGCAGATGATGAGTCTTGGGGTGCCAGTCGGGGGTGACTTCTCCGGCCTCCTCACGGAGCCTCGCAGTCCCACTGCCGGGACCTACCGCATTCTCCTCCATCAGAAACTGCAGCAGAGTTCTGAACCACCCCCTCTTCCCCCCATCCCTCCTTCCCCACCCCAGACCACCGGCACTCGCAGGAAGAGCAGCGTCTGTATCATTCTCTGAATCAGTCACTTCACAGATCAATATATTTATATATTATAATCCACAAACAGATAAATAATACACAAAAGTACATAAGAAAACATGCAGTCACTTAAAACAGACATATTATGCAGGCTATACACACTCTACAATAAGGCCTACATAAGGACATAAATACACACATTCTATATAGAGCCCCCCCATGAGGAGGTGGTGGTACAGCATTAGCAGGTCGAGGAAGCAGAGATGTCAGCTCAGTAGGAACCCCTTCTTGAGGCCACAGTAGCCGGTGTCTGGGACCAACTGAGGCTTTGCTGGAGCCTCACAGTTCATGCTCTCCATCCACCCGCATGGCGACTTCCCTCCCTTCTCTCTCCGTCGAGCTGCTTTCTCTGCCCGCAGTTGCTGCATGCGGTACCGCACCTGTGCCATCTTCCCCTTCAGCTGCTCGTTTTCTTCAAAATGTGACTTTGACGGTGCAGCTGCTCGAGCCAGTCGAGACCTGGAGCCACTGTCCGATTGCTTGCTGGCTTCCCCCTCTCTCGCCATGGTCGTCTTGGTGTGCACTATATCGTTCATGTCATTGTTGCAGGTGAACTCAGACGAAAACCGGCCTTTGAAAGAACCCGGGAGTCTGCCTTTTTCACTGCTGGCGTACATCTTCTTGAGAATCTCACCAATGGCCTCCATGACTGCCTTTCTCTTCATGCTGACTCCACTGTTGTCAGTGTGAGTAAGAGGCTGGGCGGTCGCAGGGAGAGGCTGGGAGTGAGTGTAGGAACAACAAGGCTCGTCACTGCACTCTCTGTGGGAGCCTGCACTGGGCAGGTGAGATGAGGGGCCGGCCGCTAGCTCTCGACTTGAAGATGGAGCATCGACGTTGTCGGTGGAGGTGCTGAGGCGAGGATTAGTGTTGAGTCTAAAATCAGAGGAAGACGAGGAAGGTGCAGGGCATGAGAGAGGGGAGGGCAGCGATGAGGAGAGAGAGGTCGGGGGAGCGAGGGAAGACTGGGACTGGAAACTGCTGCAGTAGCTGGAGTCTGGAGCGACTCTACAAGCTCTCAGACAGCGTCTCTTTGGAGGAGGATCGTCGTCCTCGACCTTGGCTCTGTGGAGGTTGACCACCACGACCGACTCTCCCATCCGGATGGCAACCGACAGAGGGTGTTTCCCATTCAGGAAGTCGTCAATCTGAGAGTGTGACAGAGAGAAAAGGGAGTTTGTCCACAAGTGTAACTGGACGACAATATTATAGAGACACCAGACACCACTGGTAACATTCCTCCCATACTAGTTACACACCTGTTTGTCTGTTATTCCACTCATACTGTGTTTCATCATGGCGACAGGATCCATGGAGTTGGTAGTCTGTGGGTGTGGAAGAGAGGGAGTGAAGGGAGTGGAGAGGTGAAATGGGATGGTCACTGGCAGAGACTGGCTGTTTGGGGGTTGGCTAAAAGATTCATGTCCTCCAGTGACAGTGGGCGGGAAAGGGGGGCTAACTAACCACTTGTATAGTCACATTCATGGCTCAATAACTAGCCACAACCTATTAGCCACATTACTTTCATAGAAGATAAGCAGTGAATAGTGGCGTGCATGGGAAGGGGTGGATGCCAGGGCTTGTGAGGCAGAGGCCAGCATTCCTACTCATGGGCAGTGTAAACAGCGCAGGTCACAACACACACCGGAGGGGCCAGACCACCGCACTGCCACTAGGTGCCAGAAATAGGCCCACCGTACTCAGGAGAAGGCCAGCAAACTAACCATCTCTTATCATGTGACCTGTACATTACCCACACTCAAAGGAGGCTTGCTAGCGGGTATACCTCTGAGGGTATAGTGTGTGAACTGGAAACCATTAGCGTGCCAGCCTTGCTGCAAAGAGAGCTCCACACACACAGGCACTTGTGCCAGCATTACCAGGGCTTGCTACTAATAGTCTGTGAATGGATAGAGACTGACAGTCAAAGGCCGTTGTCAGGAGGCAGCACCTCTCACGTATGTACAAGTGTGGTGCCTGCCAGGAAGTGCAGGCAGTGAGACAGGCTGGGCAGCAGGAATGCAGTGAGGGAAGACAAGAAGCTCTCCTTACTCACATGCCACTGGACACCGACCAGAGCCCGGCCAATTAACAGACCTACAATTGGCGCTATGCACCACAAACATAACCGTACACTCAGCTATGAAGCCTCCTACATGTGGGAAGCAAGGCACATTAGCAAAACACACGCCTCAGTATACATGCCTGGAGAGCAATGCAGCTGTGTGGTGGCCTATATATTACCCCTAGACTAGTAGAGTATGGGTGGCTACACCTGACAGATCACACATCAGGATGTATGTAGGCAGAGAGAGTGGCTGGTGGACTCTGCCCTAGCCACTTTCCCACGTCCACTGGAGTGGAGCCTATCTAGAGATCAGAGCATGGGCCAGTCCAGCTAATCTGGCCCACAGTTTACAGAGGACTCTGCCCACTACACCTACCTCACCACTCACCCACCAAACTAATAGCTGCATTAGTCTAAACCATGTTAGTCAACAGGGCCTTTGTCTCTCAGAGTAGGGCACCCAACCATCTCTTACTTTATGGAAACACAGCGCGCACACACACACTCACAGCAACGCCAGTCTCCAGGGCAGGTACCAGCAACACCTCCGTTCCATCTGATATTCTGTTCTGAGTGAGAGTGCCCGACTTCAGTTCACTGATGAAGACAACAGAGAGATGTAATGGTAAGGCATGACAGTGATGTGTAAGGAAGTGGTAACCCCAGAGAGTCAGGCAGGATATCCCTCCCTAGCTGCTGGCAGCTGCTCCTACAGACTAACTTGCCACTCACACACACACACACACAAGAAAGTGAATGCACCTGTGCCAGTAGCTACAGTCCCACACCAAGTCACACCACAACACTACGCCCCCACATTGCTCACTGCCTGCCCGGCGCCCTGATATCCATCCCTAATCTTCTACCAACCAACAATAATGGTAGCTACGGACACAAATTTTCCCCACGCCCGTCTCTCTAAAACCTAACACGCCCACCATAAGCGTTGCTATACTTACTCGCTCTTCAGCAACAGCGTCATCTTGTGCGTAGAGAGACCCATTTTGTCGCTGATGCTTTCCTTCAGGGTCGAGACGCGAGCTGACGCTGACAGAGAAACTTCGAAAGGCTGACCCACCGTCGGCCGAACACGAACTCTCACCGAGCGAGACCGAGAGCGCTCTCTCTTTCTGTGACTATGGGTCCCGTGGTTGTTTGATGCCATGTCCAGAGAACTGAGATAGAACTCGCTGGAAGAGGGACAGGAGACGGCAAGAAGAAACGACGTCCGTCCAGAAGACTGTAGCGAAAACCAC